CATTTCTCCAGAAGCTTAAAATAATCTTCGGGACATGCGGACAGATACTGATTATTTATAAGGGAGATTGTGGAGTGTAAAGTTGTATTATAATATTAGGTGAACACAAACCCTTAGTCTGTGCCAAGAGCTGTGCAGGCCAGAGATAAAACATAAGAATTAGATTCAGAAAATCAGAGGGGAAAGATTTTTGGAGGGAAAACCCAAAAGCAGTTCAACAATCACCCATAATGCTTCATGTTTTGGTACACACTAATTCAGGGCTACATCATGAAACTACTTACCTCCCACCACCAGAGGGGGCCGGTGAGTTTATGGCTTGCACCATGTCTGTGGTGAGGGCATCTAACAAGCTTGTAATGAATTCCACTTTCTTCCCCTCTGGGCAGCCTGGCACAAATCAAAGACACAAAAAAACAGCAAAATTACCTTCCACGAGTAATTGGAGTCATTACGGCTCCGCGAGGCCGAAGTGCCTCTAAAGCCTCGACGCCGGGAACCAGCGTGACAGATGTTGGCTGTTACTCAGAGAAAGAAAGCAAACCTTGTGCGCAGCTTAGCGACAAACCAGGTGTATCTGTTAATTGGCTTACGCTTACAATTACCGGTGAATCATTTCCAATGGAGGTGGAATACATAGTTTGGCTGTTTTGTAAGAAAGCAGAGCCGCGGCACATGGCGGGAGGCGGGCCGAAGTGTGCGGTGATGAGAGAGTTCTGTTGAGCAGTGCAGACCTGTTAACTTTTATGACACAACTCTGAACACCTTGGGTAACTCTGTTTAATTGCCCAGATGTATGGCTTTAATGGCACGCTAAACCAGTGCAAATGTTTCCCTCCTAATTGTGTCTCTTAAAGGGAAACTTCAAACGCAGCTGCGTAGTAAACTAATCTTCTCATTCTTTTCGTTTTTTAAGTCTCATTTTGCTCCAGTCTCTCCCCTCCTCCCCTTCCTCTCGGCCTCGTTGTTCTGCGCTCTGCTCACGTCTTCCTGTTCTGTGGGTGGTGGTCCGCTGCCCCTCCAGGTGAATCCAATTAGCATTTCCTAGGACATGACAAGCAGGGAGAAGCAATGCCTTGCTGCGCCTTAATCCAAGTGTTAAATTGGGGGGTTATGGAGCGCAGAATGGTTGTACGCTGTGGCGAGGTGTCAGGGCACAGTGTGGTCCAACGTATGAAAGCACACTCAAGCTGCACCAAGCAAACTTGATTTAGCTTAAAAACGTTAGAAATAAGCAAAGTTTAACTGTGGCACATCTTCACAGGTTGCATTCGCTCATTACCTGTGATTAATTTAAAGTGGACCTATCATGCTATATTTGAATAATATAGTGTAGGACCATACCTATATAATGCATATTTATACTTTTTATTTTTCAAAATACCAAACAGATCATGCATTTTAGCCATTCCTCATTTCACTCAATTTAACACTGTCTTTGTATCATGGGCTGATTCTGTGAGAACAGCACCATCTACAGGCCTGGCATATATACTACAGCGTCTCCAGCGCTTTCGAACGGCAATGTCCGTGGCTGTCTCTTCCTGATTGGTGGAGTTGGCCCAATAGCAGTAGCGCCACTTCTGTGACGTCATAGAATTGTTCAAATCTGGATCAGTCTGTATCAGATCCGTTGCAGCC